ATCTGAAACATTTAAGTGTGACAAACATGCAAAAAAATAAGAAATCAGGAAGGGGGCAAACACTTTTTCACACAACTGTATATATGTATATATACATATATATATGTGTAGAGGTTTGAAGCACCATAAGGTCTCCAGTAGGGTTGCACCTGTTGAATGCCGCTCTTGCTCTCTGATTTGAGGATGTAGAACTCCACATTTGGAACGGCGTGTTTTTTCATTTTCAGATTCAGCACTCTGCTTTGATCACGTTTTTCTCTTATGAAACAGCTGGACTGTTTGCTGACATTTTTTGGCACGAGGCGTATTTTGACAAGACTGCTGCAGCTGCGGGGGTTTATCCAGTCACGCGTTATCGTCTTCATGGTGGCATTTTCTGAGGTTGGAGTCGGAAGTATGTAGCTACAGTTGTTGTGTCACACCACTAGTACGTTTGGAGAAGCAGTGAGCGTTTTCACATCATCTTCAGCCCTTTTTAAACGTGTTGCTTGGTGGGATTCATGGCCATCAACTTCTCCTGTTTCCCTCTCAGCCTGTGGTCTTAGTTCTCGCTGCATGTTTTTTACTGCAGCTCCTACTGCGTCGCTCCAATCTATTGTTGTAATAATCCTGCCGTCCCACTGTGATCAAACGCAGTCGCCACCTCTCCTGCGTCAGCCCCCTGTGACTGCCAGGAGCCTTTGGTCATTAGCCATTACTCCACGATAGGACGTCTTACCTGGCTTTACTAGCCTCATAGGCAGGCTGTCGTTTACTAGCAGCATCCAAAGAGATTCCATAAAGTAGAGAGAGGAGAGGATCAGGTTTTACTCTATTACTTTCATCCACAGCATCTTTTACATTTACTTACATGGGGGAAAATACAATACAAAGAAAAGAGAACTTCATGTTGAGCTCAAATATACATTTTACTTTTAATTGTTGGGTATCACTTCACTTCATTGTCCCTACATTACTTAGAAAGCATCCTTTTTCCTGCCGTTATGTTTGAACCTGGCTTGCATCGATTACGCTTTAATCAAGTCAACCTGCAAACCAAAGCTCTGTCAGCTGCAGTCCATACGATGACATGGAAACTGTGTACACCTCATAGTATTTATGAAGTGTTACAATGGTAATATGAAGGACCGAAAGAAAACGTATTCTTTTGAATCCCTGCATACACGAATGCACAACCTCCCTATATGCATTGGCCAGCAGCTTCTGGTATTCATTAAAAGATGGTGGTCGAGGGCGGCCAATCAAGCACTGGCTTAACAAGGGCAGCGGGCTTAACGAGGCCCAGACTAAGCAGCAGGGACGGCCTCATTAGGAGAAGCCTCTGAGGGTCTCGCTTACAGAGAGCATGTGGGAAATATACTGTATACGTGAACGATGGATCCACCCCAAAACCGAGTGCACATTTTACTACCAATTTATTTAAATATGTAATCAGTAAGAATCACCACCACCAATGACAAATGACATATTGGAGGTCTGCAGAAAGAGTTGCACTGCATGTCTCTTCATTTCCTATTCCTGCTCATATGTGAGGATTTGCTGCTTTTCTCTTGTTTTGTATGAGTGCACGCCGACTATATTTGAGTTGTGGACTGTTGCTCGGACAAAACCAGACGTTTTGGAGACGTCAGCCGACATCGCGCAGACCAAACAAATCACCGTCCAGGAACTGAGCTTAAAAAACAACACAGATAGCACCACCTTCTCTAATGGGCTAATGAGAAGATTGCGATGATACAGCTGATCCCCGCTGTAGTGATGACGGGATGAAGCTCACACTCACACACACACATACATACACACACACACACACACACCTCCCTCTGCTTCCAACCAGCACACTCAGCTTGTAAACTTCACAGCATTTTACCAGCAGACATGTTGCTAGGAAACCAGGAGGTGATTAAAATGACGTACACACGCACGCACGCACGCATGCACGCACACACACACGCATGCACACAGGAGCAGCACCCGTCTTGTTAAACTGCTACTGCTCTCTTTCCATACACCATGGGAGCTCTTTTTGGTTGTGTGTGTGTGTGTGTGTGTGTGTGTGTGTGTGTGTGTGTGTGTTGTGGCAAACATCAAAGTGTCTACTCTGTCCTGGTGCTCGTGTCTTATTCTAAAAATTTTAAAATGCTGACTCACACTCCTCCCTCTCTACCTGTAGGTCCTTTTTTGTTACTAATCAGCTCTAAAAATGTATGATTCCTTTTCAATATTAAGTTAGAAACGTTTGATATCGACTGTTTTTGTGGACTTCTTCCTAATGAGGTTACTTTGCAGCATAATCAGCTCACCTTTGAAAGCATACATTCAATATTCACATCTGGTAGACCCATCATCGGTATAAACTCTTTTTGAGTGGACGACAATGCCCAAACACAAGCTGAGTATTACTCCTCATGATACGTAAACTAATCTTCAGAATGCTGCTCTGGACCTTTTGAGGAAAAGTCGGCAGGACACCAAATACACCAGGAGTGATTGTGACTAGTTTTCCTGCAGCCCCGCTGTGGCATTTACGCCCTTAAAATACTTCCTGCAGCTCACAGCAGACTAAACAATGCAGTAGCTGTGAGATGCTCTTATAAATGTCCTCATTGTGTTTTGGGGAACCTCCTTTTAAAATTGCACTCCGTCCTCATTGTTGGGTCGACTATGCGTATTTTCTGCAGTGTTTAAAAGGCCGTTTCTTTTCTCAGGAGGGACGCCGAAGACGAGTTGCTGGTTCAGCCCATCTTTTATTTCAGGGTAGAAAACTCACTCGCTGGAGACAAATTATGCACCGCAGTTGCCAGAGCGACGTCGTCCGGCAGCCTTTAATAACCAGTTCTGTCAGGAAGCGTTCAAATGTTTTGGGGAAGCTCTTTGAAAGTGTGATTTATAAGCCACCGGTTACTTCCCATTGGAAGACCTCCCTGAAGGTCCTGCAAGTTTATTCTGCTTTTTGGAAAAGTTTGATAAGTTTGATTTTGTTTTTTCCCCCTCAGAGTTTGAATGGAGCTTCAGTCAGGACCTGTCGGCCATCTTGGTGAAACAGGAGGAGCCGGATGTGGGTCAAAGGTTAGATCCTCAGCCTCTCGAAGGCCCGCCTCTCATATTAAGCGCTGCCCCCCCACACAGAGGGTCGCCATGGAAACACACGGTTAGCATCCACCCGGCAAAACGATCCGAATGATGCCGTTGTCGATTTTTTTTCAAAAGCGACGTTTCATCGGCAGCTTTTGTTGTTGTTGTTGTTGTGTTTCTGCAGGAGCCCAGTCAAGACAGCGGGAAGCCAGTCGCCATCAAAAACGAACCCAGAGAGATTGGACAGTACCTCAGCCTGCCCACCGGTACACACACGCACACACACGCACACACACACACACATGTTACAGTGGTCAAGCCAGGAAGTGACACAAATGTATCCAATCCCCACAAAGCAATATGTTATAAAGGAAACAAAAAAGTCATTTGTGGGTTTTTATACCCCTGAACTTGTCTTCTCATGCATGAGGACAGAAACTCTCTTCATCTGTCCAATGTTTGAGATTTCAGAATGAACCAATACATTTGGAGCTGTTAATGGACCTATTTCCTGCATCAGCTCAGTGGTCAAAGCAAAGGGAGTTCATCGTAGAAGCACCAGTTCACCTCCCTCGTCTCCTTTCAGACGACGCTCTCCAGCTCCCGCCCACCCCGCCCAGCAGTAACCACGGCGACAGCGACGGCTCCCTCCCTCCGTCCTCGCCGCACCTCGCTCTGCCACCGTCTTCCCCTCAACCACAACAGAGGCCAGGAGGTCGAGCCTCTTCCTCCTCCTCCTCCTCCTCCACCTCCTCTTCCACAGCCATCTCTTCCTCACCTCTCCTCACTGCGCCGCATGTGAGTGAAAGAGCACAGCTGCGCATCTTTAAGCTCAACTTTAAGCTGTCATCATGAGGTTAAATCAGTCTGATAGTCTGCTCACAAGATCGGGGCCCATTGAATTAAATCCAATCAATTCAGTGTCGGACTTTGTCTGATTCAGCAGATTTTCTCACATTTGTTTGAATGCCACTATGTGTGACCAAATCTTCAATGTTGATAACGGTTGTAACTATATCGATGAAGTGCTTTGTTTGATCGTGCAGAAGCTGCAGGGTTCAGGACCCCTCTTGCTGACAGAAGAAGAGAAGAGGACCCTGGTTGCTGAGGGCTACCCAGTACCCAACAAACTTCCTCTCACGAAGAGCGAAGAGAAGGCGCTGAAGAGGGTCCGACGGAAGATTAAGAACAAGGTAAACACCGCACCTTTGTGAAGCTTTGAGTCTTTTCTTTTTCATTTATTGAGGCAGCAAATCCATCTGAGCACACATGGGTGTGTAGCAATAGGAAAGGTTTGCAGAATAGAAATCGTCTCACAGACTTAGCAGTCTCGCTGATATTTTTTCCGTTTCTCTACCCAGATCTCCGCTCAGGAGAGTCGGAGGAAGAAGAAAGAGTACGTGGAATGTCTGGAGAAAAAGTAAGCCTTTGGAAAACCTCTTTGTCCCCGTGTTTCCACTCCTTTTCCACTCATTTTTGGTTTACCTTTATATCTGGCGGACTTTTTGTGATTTCCGAACCCTTCTTTTCTCATTAAAGTCAAATAGAAACTCTACTACAGTACATCAGTGGCCACAATGATTTAGAGTAGTTCAAATTGGTTCGATCCTTTACCGACTTTACCCTGCTGTTATTGGCACAGTGACCAAATATTGAAGGACCAAATATATATATATATATATATATATATATATATATATGTGTATATGTGCTGTGGAAGGACTCCAGTAACCTGCTGAACACATGGGGCAGAGGGAAGGGGAGGTGAAAATGTGAGCAGAAAGAACCCACAGAGGTTCATACAGGTGGTGACAAAATGTCCTACTAATCCCATTAGAGTAGGGGGAGGAATCGTCCTCTTTCTTTGTGTTCATGTTTTCTTTTTGGACACGAGGACAGGATTATTGGAGGATCTCTGCAGAGCGAAAAACAGCAGGACGACTCGCTGAAAGGAATGTGTATGAATGAGCCATATTCAGACCAAACGTATAGGTGGAGATCAGGAGGATTATGAGGGACGGAGCACGAGATTAAGAAGATGTTTTGCCGATATTAGATATAGGACTAGCAGGAGGGAGAGGACATCCTGCAGATCCAACTGCGTGCAAAATAGGATCGATGGGGGAATTCAACTGTCACAATGAATTCAGTAAATGATGCTGTGTGTGTTAAAATGTTAAATCTGACAAAGATCTGTGTCCTTTTGTGTGTGTGTGTGTGTGTGTGTGTGTGTGTGTCAGGGTGGACAGCTACACGTCAGAAAACAGCGACCTGTGGATAAAAGTAGAAAACCTGGAGACCGCCAACAGGTGAGGCTCTCACACACACACACACAGACACACAGACACACACTGGCTAACATTAGTGCTGTCTTGCCGTTGTACTTCTACAGTTCTTATGCAGCGTGTTACTCGGAGAGTCTAAACATAAATTTGTCTGCTCCATAAGCAAAGTGTAGACTCACCCTGCTCCTCTGTTATTACGACAATATGAAACCAATCTGCTACTATCCAGGAGCGGGTGGGTGGGTGTGGTGGTGGAGAGGGATGAGGGGGGGGGGGGGGGTTTTGTCTGTCTCTATGTCTGTCTGTCTGTGGCAGTCTGAGCCTGTCATTACAGCTGAAAGTTAACAGTAGCTTTCATCATGGAAGGCAACCCCCCTCCCGCCCCACCACGCGCGCACACACACACACACACACACTGATGAATATGTTAAACCACCACACAGAGGAACAATGAGTTGGCGCAAACTGGGGAACATGAGTCAGCTCGCTCACTCTCACATAAAGTCCAGAATATGTGCAGGGCTGAAAAAAAAGAAGAAGTTTTTTAAACAAATGAAGTTAATTTAAGCTCCTCGTTCCTAAAAATTCCCCAAATGCCGTTATTAGTGGTCGTTTTGTTGTCCGTGCAAAACTGCATGTCCACTTAGCGCTACTGGTTCATTTGTTGTACAAAAATAAAGCCCACCTCCATGTAGTGTTAAATATGTATTAAAAAGTCTTGAACTGTGGACTTTATCTCCCAGAGTCACGTTGATAGGAACTTGAAATGTGCCTAGCTTAGCACAAACACTGGAAGCAGGGGGAAACTGCTAGCCTAGCTCCTTCAAAAATAAAAAAAAACATTCATGTAATGAATTAATTCAGATTTTCCATTCTTGTGCTGAATACTTACACACACACAATCATCACCGAGTCAACCTGCATGAGCTTTGGAAGCATTATAACTTCAGCGGTTAATCTCTGTGGTTTCACATCAAAGGTCCTGAGTGAGCGACGGTTTATTGTCTGGTTTAGAGTCTAACGTATTAAACGACTGACTGACTTTGCTGAGGGGCCGGTTCACAGCGGTGTCTGGGCCTCTGTCTCCGCTTAGTGGTCAGAGAGGGTCCTCACAGCTCATACCATCAGAACCCTGCTCTCCAGATCCCACTGATAGACTTCGTTCTACTGGTTTCACTGGTGCAGTCCGTCCAACTCCGCTGTTCTCTTTACTCACGCTGGCTCATTGACACCGCAACAGTAAATCAAGTGGATGAAGTTGATTTTAATTTTCCTCTGCCTTCCTTCCTCGCTCTTTAACGGATCTCTCTGTCTCTCTAGGTCTCTCCTTCAGCAGCTCCAGAAGCTTCAGTCGTTGGTTTCAGGAAAGGTGATCCCCCGCTCTTGTAAAATGGCCTCCACTCAAACAGGGACATGCCTCATGGTAAATGTAGTTGACCTCATTAACCTCTGAATCTGTTTTTTTTATGTTCGTGATTGTTCACTAAGTGTTTTGCTCCTCTCTGTGTGCAGATGGTGGCCGTGTGTTTCATCCTGGTGCTGGGCTCCTTCTCTCCTTGCCTCTCCCCTCTCTCCTTCCTCACTCACACCTCCTCTTTGTCCTCCTCCTCCTCTTCCTCCCATCCGTCCTCTCCTCCACTTCCGACGGCGGACCTCTACACCACCAGTCAGGGTAGGTCTACAAATACCGATCATTCAACACCATTATAGAAATTAATTAAAAATGTTTTCAATGCACCCATAACCTTTCCTTTAGTTTACAATGTCATACATTTCCCATAATGCCTTTCAGCAACCCCAAGATAATGAGAATGAACTTTAGTACTTGTAGATAGAGGATAGGATTAATGACAAAGACTGTGTTTTATAAAAGAAACTTGATCTAAAGTACAACGTTGTGTTTTTGTTTATTTGTACTACGGCAAATAATATGACTCCAAAATAAAAGCGCATGAAGCAGGAAGGTGGATAAAGGTGCTAGTGGACCCTAGAGGCATAAATGACATGTTGAATATGTTTGTGTGTCACAGTCCGTTCCCGCAGCCTGCTCTTCTACAACGAAGAGGCTCCATTGGAGGAGAGTTTAGTGACATCAGAACAGGGGCGGCTACAGTCAGACCACATCCAGACAAGCCGATACACAGCTGACGCTGACAGCAGCAACCAGACAGCTGGGCCCGAGTCAGACCGGAGGTAGAACATATATATGTATATGATCGCTTTGTGTCAAAGAACTGTTGTTGTCCTCTCAATATTAACAGAGTGCCTCTCTTCTCTCCTCAGAGAAACAAAACCAGAAGGAGTCTCCGAGGTTTACGACACAGCCTGACGGCTCCTCCCATGACTTCTAACCTCGAACCCCCTTTAAAAAGCCCGAAACCTCCAGATTCCTCTGCCAAACTGGACCAGAATCTCAGTCCACCATCACCCCTTCTAGTGAGACACGGGACAAGACCTCCTTCAGTCCTCCACAGTCGGTATTCTGCCTGCACGACACGCGGCGCTCCACGTAAACGGACTCTGCTACACCTGAATAGACTTGATTTTAAAGAGACCATCTTATTGAAATTCCAACTTTTATGCATTCAAATATAGTATCTGTTAATACTTCATTCAAAAAAAGTCGTGAAGAATATTTTAGATACATTAAACATAGGGCCTTAAATATGATAATATAGAAAATATCACCACAAACTAGTGCGACCGTTCGCCAAAAAGAAGGCCGATATGAGCCACTGAAGCTGTGATCATGTGAAAAGAGTTTTATCTCATCTTGTCATGACAGACCTGAAGAAACATCCTTTTTGCTTTACGGGAAATGTGGTCTTAATGTTGTGAGATACACCGAACGATACACCTGTTGAGAAATCATGAACATAAATACATGTAAATGGATACTTGACAGACCACTGTGGGAGTTTATGTGATGTATTTGAGGTATTATATGTATTTTACTTCCAAGGCGCTCTTTGTTTTTATTTTTTAACCAGTCACACACCGTATGTTGACAAAGGGCTGCAACTAACGATTAGTTTGGTTATTTTTGTGATCAATCAATTAATCCTCACATTAGAGAAGCTGGAACTAGAGTTTTTTTTCTTGATTCCTTTTCTGTCAATCAACTAATGGAAGAATCGTTAGTAACAGCACATAATGAACGCAACATGTGGTGCTACTAACATGTTAAAAAACTAAATCATGGAAATGAACACATCCTTTTTAAAAGGAGGCTGTGCCATTTTAAAAGTGCCTTCCACTTCAGAAATATGACCAACTCGGCCTTAAAGCTAAAGCCCACACACGCAGCTACAAACCTGGAAATGTAACTCGAACTAGATTACATCCCATTTACTTTTAAACAATCATAAACTGGATCAATGTTCAGGATTTATGTGGGGGGGGGAAATACTTTATTTCACATGCCTGGCAAACCATATAGTACGTTATATTTTTCCACTTTTTAAATTCATCTCTGAAGTTCAAATCCAGCATCATTTGGGAAATATCTTCACACCAAAGGACTGTTAAAGGGGTCCTGACAGAGGTTAGGAAACATGACATAAAAGTATTTTTATGGGATTAAAAATTGTATATGTAATATATTTGCAGCATCAAAAAAAGAGCATATTTAATTTATGCAACACAAAAAAAAGAAATACTGAACGTGTTTTTAAAGTTAGTTATCTTGTTATGTTTTTCTAAATAATGTTTACAAAAAAAACCCAAAATACAACTTATAATATATTCAGAGCATCAAAAAAAGAGCATATTTATTTTATGCAAGAAAAAAAAAAAAGGAATTGTATGTTGTGTTTTGGCCTTTAGGATGATGAAGTTTTACACGATGGTGTGTAGTTGACATGCTGTTTGATGGAGTGTAAAACTTTGACATGATCTGTTTGTGTCTTTTAACTGTAATACAGTGTTTATGTTTCATTGCTGTCGCATGAAAAGCTACGAAGGTCTTTTTTGTTCCCTCATGAATTTAAAAAACGCCGTTAGCGTGTACAATCAAACTCATTTTTAGCCACAGAAATTTTTAATGAAAACATTTGACATTAGCGCCTCATGTAGATATTTCCCTGTCATAAATTCATACTCAAAACGAAGCAGCGGAGGAAACATCTCAAACGCAGATGCTCGATGTGCTCATGCGACAGCAGTGTGTGTTGTATTTATTCCTGTTTGTAGAAAGTGTGTATATATTGATGAAGCCAATCAGGGGACTAATACATTCCAGGAACTAAAACACCACTAGCTTTGTTCTCGCCACAATCTGAAGGAACATCGGGACATTTACAAAAAGTCTTTCTTCACCACTATTCTGAAAATGTGAGAGAAATCCAGTCCAAATCATTGAGGACATAATCACAATTATCAATTATGAAATACTCAGAAATCCTATTTTTTTTTATCATTGCAATTAACACAGTTTTTGTTATTCATCTCTGTACCCGTTTCATTTTGTGTCCCTCATACTGTGTCTGTACACAAGAAACATCATGTGACTGCAGCCCGTTGCACAAACATCCAGTCATTCTCACCCACAACAGTCTTAAAGCACCGGTGTACATAAATAATGACGACCTAATGTGCAGTTGTTGTAAATAAGGGCCTTGGTTTTGTATTGTGACATAGTCCAAGATTTTAACCTGTGGAAGCACTTGGGAAAGAAAAATATTGAGAAAATTGTTTTTTTGGGGAAAGGATATGTAAATGAGGGGGGGGGGGGGGGTAAAAATAAAGGGAGGGTGACTTTTTCCACTTGTAAAGAAACTTTGACAACACAGCAGCTGCACACAGTTCAAATAGTTGTAAAACACCAGGGAGTGCTTGATTATTCGTACCTCTTCGTGAAAATGTTTTGAGGAGAAGTAATCAAGCACTTTCCAGCGATTGCAGTTATTTCAAATGTGTTTGGGTTTAATGTTGTCTTGGTTTGTTGTATAGCGTCTTGCATGCTCCTCCATATACAACTATGTTATCTTAGTGTAGTCAGTAGAGTAGAAACGAGCAAAATATAAAAAACCTGCATCAGCAACACTGTGTCTGTGGACTTTCTTGCTTCAAATGCGACTTTTATGTCATTTGTTTAAAAAAAAAAAAAAAAAAGGTCCTAGTCTTGATTTAGTCTTGTTTCCTTTTCGACCAGCAGTTCAGCTGAAGTGTTTGAGTATTAGCTGTTTTCGGAGGTCCTCTGCCTGGCTGTCGCGGTCCTCGGGTCTCTGTTCGAGGCTCTCGGGCTGCTCCAGGGGGTCGGTTCTCTCCAGAGTCCAGGCGTCTAATCCAGACTGCAGGGAGGCGTTGTGGAGCACGCAGCAGGCCAGCAGGATGGACGAACTCCTCTCTGGAGAATACTGCAGGACAAGAGAGGAGACACAATAGCTGGATGACACTGCTCTCAGTACGATGCTGCTCTATGTACTTATATTTTACAGGGAGAGGTTAGCTTAGCATAGAAAAGTACCTGTAGGTATCCTTTGGTGCCGTCCAGACATCTGAATCTGGTCTGGATGGCTCTGAAGGTTCTGTCCACTATCTCGTGTGTAGTCGTGTGGGCCAGGTTGTATTGAAACTCTGCAGGAGACTCTGGGCAGTCGACCGGGGTCATCAACCACTTCCTTAGAGGGTAACGACGGTCACCTAGGAAAGAGAATAGGACTTTAATCCTTCGCTGGACCTTTTCAGACTAAAAAGTGATGTTGAAATCCACATCTCACCCAGCAGCCAGCCCTCCTCTGTGTCCTGCAGCTGTTTGTGGAGAGCAGATCTTTCTAGAACATCCGTGTCTCTGAGACCTCCAGGCCAGTGTGTCTCTGCGCTGAGCAGCAACCCTCTGGCATCACAAACCAGCTGACAGCCCACGGAGTGAAACCCCTTCTTGTTCACGTATGACGAGTCTTCGCTGTTGGGAGCTTTGATGGTGACCTGGAGATGAGGTGGAAACAATATCAGTCAGGCTGTCACTTGTGTACAAAGTGTTCAAAGTTTTAATACAGTATAATATAGTAAACCTGAACATAGTCCAGCACCCCCAGTACTCCTGGGAATCCTGCCACCCTCTGAAACTGCTCTGTGCTGGAGGGATCTCTGTATGTGAAACATAAATATGGCTGTTATTGTAATTTGTCTCCCTATTCTTAATGTTTTTAATATGTTGTCTGCCTCTATAATCCAGCATAGTATCGCACCTGTTGAACATGATGAACTGGGGCGCTTTCTCCACCAGGGCTCTGGTCACGTTGGACACGCATCTTGACATTGACGCCTGGCTGATCCCTATAGTGTCTCCCATAGATGTCTGGAATGAGCCAGATGTGTAGAAGCCCAAAGCAGCCAACACCTGGACCTCAGGACTGATGGCTCTGGACCGCTGTGTCCGTCTGCAGAGAGCCTGATGCACAGAAACACATCCACATGCATAAACACATTTAAATATGACAGATAACTGGATGGGATTATTAAAAAACTGAGGATGAGCACATACTAACCTCTCGGAGTAATTCCACCAGATACAGAATGAACTCTCTGGGGAAGCCAAATTGCGAGAGGAGGACAGTGTCTGGGACAGAGCCCAGGTCAAAGCGGTCCAGGGTCTTGTGGCCTCGACCATGTAAGAGCAGATCACAGTCCAAGATGGCTATAGGGATCGCCATGCTGTGGGCAATAACACATTTCTATCAACACATCATTTGCAATGATGGAAAGCGTCTTGTTTTTACTCAATAAGATATGTTTGTATGCATTTTAAATCCTGATGTATGTGATGCATGTTATAGTTATAGTATAATAGAGATTATAGCAATTTTATTTTGTTTAATTTGATTACATTGCCAATAAAGCCCTTGCTGGCTGGAAAATTGTGGACGATTATAACTTAACAGCACGGAAAACCTGTTAACATGTTTTAAAGCTAACGTTAGCCTTAGTTAGTACAGAATCAAACAAAGCAAAGGCGCTAACTAGCTAGCTAGCTAGCTATCATCTGAGCTTTCCTAATTTCAGCTATGCGTGCCTGTGGAGGCCACTTTACTAACTCACTCAGATGAACAGCCGTAACGTTAAATGAAAATTAAAGCATAATTCATTTTGTTTGCATTGTTAAGGAAAGGGCCCTTACCTTTAATACAAAAGTCATGCAGCTTTTTCAACCAAAACAAACCTCAGGAACACCAATCTTGAGATACACATTCGCAGATTCGACAGGAAGTTGCAATTGTTTTGTTTTTTGCAGATTATCGTTTTAAATTAAATAAAAACTTGAATTTATCTGGTTAATTTTCTCATAATACGTATGATGTGTCTCGTGTTTTATTGACGATACATTTTATACGTTTAAAAACAATATCGACGAAAGTGCCGTTGTGAAAGTGCTACTACCCAAACACGTCGACATGGAGAAGATAAACAGAAAAGTAGCACAGTCGCTGTTGACGTTGTTTACATCTGAATTAAGCGCGTGAATGTCTGTGGAACACAGCGTCGCGTGACATCTTTATTAAATTAATTCGTATTTTATTGAAGCTGCATTCCTAAGGGAGAAGCTAATGTGAGTTATGGTGTTTTCTGATGACGTTAAAGTGCGTGCAGTTTAGCCTGCTAGCTAACATTAGCCACATGCTAACGCTAGGTGGCTAATTATCGCTGAAAATAAGGTATTGCACTTCATAGAAAATATGCCAGATGCCATCCGTATTCTGTCGTTCAACCTCCAAATATTATTCGGACAATTTCATCTGAACGTGAGCTGGAGGCCTCACTTGCTAACTTAACAGATGTTATACAGATAGAAATGTTACATTGCTGCCAGTTGGTAATGTTAAATAGATAGATAGCTAGCTAGCAAAGTAGGCCTATGTGTGTCAAAACATTGCCTTTGTTTTTGAGTTTTGAAACCATGGACTGAATGTATGGTGGTAATATTCACTACTAGTTTACATTTGTTCAACTTTTCTCTGAAATTATTTGTTTCTGACAATTTAAATTCATTATAATTTGGAATGCAGTGGCAACATTCGTGTGTGCTCACTATCTTACGCTGCTAACCTGGCCAGGAACCATAATTACTCAAATTTACGTTAACTATTAACTTCGTTAGCTAAAAGTGGATTACAGCCACTGTATTGAGATATGTTAACCTCTAATGTGTTGTCTTGTTTGATTGCAGGGTCTTGACAACATGGACAGTGGCCTGAGTCCCCAGGATAAGAAGGACTTGGACAAGTTCATTAAGTTCTTTGCCTTGAAGGTAAAAAAAGCCAGAATGGTGCTCCTGTTTCTAGTGGCTTTGTTTCTGTCATTGGTATCTACTGATGCAGGCATTTTTGGTTTTGAGATACTTGTCACTGATATGTTGCGGTGACTCTGGATACTCTGCTGCTGACTAGTGAAGGTTTCTTATTTCCTATGTGTAGACTGTCCAGGTGATCGTCCAAGCTCGTCTTGGAGAGAAGATCTGCACTCGCTCGTCCTCATCGCCTACCGGCTCTGACTGGGTAAAATAAGTCTTTGTTTTACCTTTTTGTTGTTGATCAGATTTACAGTTCCCTGTATTTGACTATTGGTCTTTTTCTTCAAAGATGTAAATTATATCGTTTTGTTTGTTATTATCATTTCTTCTAGTTTAATTTGGCCATCAAAGACATCCCAGAAGTGACTCATGAAGCCAAGAAGGCACTGGCTGGCCAACTCCCAGGCATCGGGCGCTCCATGTGTGTCGAGATCTCCCTCAAGACGTCAGAGGTAAAACCTCCTTTGATCATCTGCTGCTGTCCCTTTTCTTCTTTTATTAATATTACTTCTCACTCACAGGACCTCAAACAGTGCAGGGACTTTAAATATTCAAACATAACAAATAATAACTTCAGATATTAGGTTTATAAACGAACAGAGACAACAACATGTTGTGTACCTATACTGCTGTGTGAACCATAAAAGACTCACCAGCTTTATGCATTTTGAATATTAAACGGAACACTCATTTACTCCTGTACATAAAATTATACACACAATTATTTGTACATATATATATATATATATATATATATATATATATATATATATATATA